GAAAGTGCATCAGCAATATCTGGAAGATGCTGGACTTTGATAAAGGGTAGGCTTGCTGGGATCAAGGTGGGATGTAGTAACTCCTGAGGTAGACTTTTGGGGAGGAATGAATTGCTGTTCTGCTTGGGAAGATTATTACAAGCCAGATTATGATGCATGCTTGTGGAGATGGGGCAAGCTGGGGGTGAAAAGAGTAGATGAATAAATTCCAATTTCCAATTCCAATAAATTTATCCCACAGATAAATTCCCTACTCTTGTGGAATTGCTTGATAGTCAAAGACAAAAACATTACAATCATCTAATGTTCTCATGAGCAATTATCATAGAAGCAGAAACCGATAACTTTGTTCTGCTTTCCAGTACTGTTTTGTGGTCAGTCTTCTGTAGACCTGGAAGTTCACAACGGTGTAGTAGCTTCCTGATACAGTTCTGTCTTGCAAGGGAGGACTTGTGCTGTTACTTGGCTATTTAACTTTTTTGGTTAAGGCTTTAAGCTCTTACTTTAAGCCACTTCTTTCTGTTCTTGACTAGTCTGGATTTGGAACAATCCTGCATTTCCTTTTCTGTAGGTTCAAGATGTTATTTAAATACTTACAAACCAGAAAAATAACTTGTGAAGATTATTGTAGCATTCAGCGTAATAGTAAGGAAGGTCTGTAAGGGAGTTACTCTGAGATATTTGGCTAAGTGTAGGAACTGAATGTATGACATAGCTCAGATGCTGAGGCAGCTCGCCTGTTAATTCAACCTGGAATGACAGCTGCTCTTAGGCTGGCATCAGTGTCCCTCTGAACAGAGAGGTCTTGTACTCTGCTGCTGTTTCTCTACATACTGAAATGTAAATTGTGAATAATTAACTTTGAACTGGGGAATCCCAGGTCTGTCTATTAGAGTAAAAAAAACTCCAGCAAAACAAAACTAGAAAAACAACTCTGCCCCAATCCAGAATACAATCTGAAAAGGTAAAGGAATAACTTAGAATCTTTAAAGTGTTGTAGAATCTCTCTTGTTAAAAAAAAAAAAATTAAAAATCTCAAAATCAGAAAGTAGTTTTCAAGTAGTAGCTTCAAGTAGTCTGAAATTCTGAAGACAGTGAAACCTTCTTGCTGTTCTCTTTTTTTTAACCTTATGAGCTTAACAAACAAACACCAAAATTAGTTAAATCTTTTAATGGTCTCTTTAAAAGCTCACAAAGAGTTAAGGTGTCTTAACTTACTTTGGTCTTCCTCATTGAACCCTCTACCAATCTTCCTCAGTTTGGCATGTTTGTCTTACTATTAACGAAGGTGTTAATCATACTCTAGCCTTGCTTCTCTTCCTTGAATAAGTTGCAGGTGTCTTAAGGCTGAGGCAAAGAATTGTCTAGTCAAAGAGTTTATAAGCTGGTGGTTAGATTTAAGTTATGATGTCCAAGAGTTGATCAGCCATTTATTCCTTCTATGTGTATAGGTTTTGCATCTGAAAACTTAACTAGAAAAAGTATACATTTAATTTAGACTCGAATATAATTTAAACAAGGATCTCTAGACTGAAGGAGTGTTCAAAATAGCAGCTAGCAAGATGCAAAGAGGGGAAATAGGAGAAATCATGGATTGTGATTTGGCAATTATAACTTAGTCCCACAGTAAAGCAGATTCACATGAAGGGCGTAGGTCGTTGTTCTCCAACTTCTCCACTTGTGTGAAAGTTGTTATGAAAGCACTGGCTGCTATTGCCGTACCACTCCTGGTTTCTTACTCTGCTTGGAATTTGTATTTGAGCTCAGTTCTTGGGTTTGGGGTTAGCTGTTAGTATGTGTGACATGGATGCCTGCAGTAGCAGAAACTTCATCAGGAAGGTACCTTTAATCCTTGTTTGTACTACTTCTGTGTACCCCAAACAGAATCACCTTTGTAAGTGTTGTTCATATGGCTTCTGATGGGCTGTGCTTTACCTGATATTTCTGAACGGGATCTAGTTCATGTTAACAAGTCCATCTGTGACTTGCTTGGAAGACCTTGAACTTGATGTCTCTTTTGAAAACTAAGTTTGTCCCATCAGTAAATACCTGAATCGTTTGAAAATGTAGTTTCTAGATTTTCTTTTTTCTTGTGTTTCCTTTTTCCTTGTACCTATTCTTCCCTACCACACTGAAGGTAAATTAATTTTGCCAAGTCTTATTTTAAAATTCAGCTTAGCCACCAAACTCTGCTGCCCAGAGTTCATTAAAGTTAGCTATGCTTCTGAGTTGCTCCAGATACTGATGATTGCTGGTTAAGCTGAGATGCTATGGTATGGGGGAAAGAAACCCAGGAAGCTTGAATTCCTTAACTTTGTGGTGTGACTTAATGGGAAACAGCTCTGCAAGAATTAACCCCCATCTCTCTTCTTATCTCCCCCACCTCCCCCCCCCCCCCCCCCCTGCGTAAAATCGTATCCCCCCCCCCTCCCCCCCACCCCCCCCGATGAGTAAAATCTTCATGTGTGGTTTAATTCTTTTCTGTGCACTGAAAGTAGTAGCCTTAAATTTAATCATACCTCCCTACTCAGCACACTATAATTACTCGTGTCCTAAAACATTCAGAGCTGCAGACTGAGATGCCGTACCCTCCAGCAGTTTGGGGAGCAGGCAGGAATGGCTGGGTGACTTCAGGAGAGCTGCAGTAGCGTATAGGAGCACTGCCTTGTCGCCTCTGTTGCCAGCATTGCTGTGGGTGGATTCCTCTGAGGTTTCATTATCTAACATCCACCGATGGAATACATAATTTATAGCATCCCTCTTCCATAGTGAGCTGCGTACTGAAACTTAGGACTGAAAGCTTGCAAATTTGATGCGTATTTCCTTATACTAAGGATAAACGCTGTCATCTGCAGTAAAACCTCTGAACGGGGTAAACTGTGAGCAAGCCACTTGTGACACCACTGTCTTCTATAATGCATTAATCAGCAGTACAGCATAAAAGATTATTGGCCTGTATGTACAACAAGATCAAGGAGAATTGTTGGGGCTCTGTGAGCTTGAACTGCTGTCATTCAATAGCATGGCTTTACTTCTGTAATACTTTGTCTGCAGAACTGCCTCCTTCAAGGGTAGTGTCACTGAGGATATAGAAGTTAACTTTACATTTCAGAAGGTATTCTGCAAAAAACCCAAACAAAACCAAAACAAAAAGCACCGCGATGACAAACATTAAGATCAAACTTGGCAAACAGATCACATAATTTTTGTTTTCTGTCTCATTACAGAAAATCATTCCACTGACCTGAAACTGAAGACTATACAAAATTATGGCCATACAAAAAACAATTTTACACACAAGCACTGCAGTTTTCTCAAGCTTCTGACTCAGCTATGGATTTCTCGTATCTTAAATGAGTCTGTTTAATAGAAGTAAAAACCCCCACAAAAATCACTTGCCACAAATTTAAAAAGAATAAATAAATTACTAAGCTTCTGAATGCTTCCAGTACAGCAGTGTGGATGTCTGAACACACCAGGTGGTTCTCAACAGCTGATGCAACTCATCGGTCTGTTCAGACAGACCTGTCCTCTGGACTTTTCCTGCCCTGCAGAGGCAGAATCAGTAGTTGCACAGCAGTCTGAACCGTGACTTTCTGCTCCCAGCAGCATTAACGTCCTCTATTATATGGGGTTGTGTTTGGGAGGGAAAGAAGTCTGTGGAGTGTTTACAGCAGACTTGCATAGTTTAGGTGTGCAAGGATCAGTCACAGAACAGCCTTTCTGCTTCTAGGGTAGATTAGCTGTCATCACTGAATGACTTGAATAGTTGGATGAACATTTCTAGTCTGGGGGTGGGAAAGAAATAAATGGAAAATCATTAACAGCGATTACTTTCTTCTCGGGGAAAGTAAAAGATGAGTATTTTCATTACTAATGAATATATAATGCTTAGTCTAGTAGTTAAACTTTTTGATTTTTAACTTTTTCTACTTAGATCTTCAAACTTTAAGCTTCAGCCCTACAGTTAGGTCTGTGTTCTGTGCTCTTTGTGTTGCATGAAGTTGTCTCCTTGAAGTCTTACTAGGGCTGTGTCTGGCATCACATGGGTTTTGGTCATGCAGCTGCAGTATGCAGTTTCCAACTGTGCCTCAAAAATAGCTTGTAGAAGGTCATTGCTGTCTGCCTAGCAAGAGTCTGTAGGTAATAAGTGATGCAATAAATCAAAGATCCTATCAGTAAATGTGGAATATAGATGCTAGTGGGAAGTTTGCCCTACTGTTTATGATTTAAGTACTTCTCTTAATTTCATGCATTGTCCTGTGCAAGTCTACACCTTCCTAATGTACAGAACACAAAACTGTATTTTATACTCGTTCCTTAAGACAGTCTAATGTCTTATGTCTTATGTCTTCTATGTAAGGTGCAGTTGCTTGCGAAAGACTGTTTTTCTTCACTATAAATGAATGTCTATCCTTGCTGCCTTTCTTGCTGTTGAACAGGTCTTAATGCATGCCTGAATGCACTCTTCTGCTGACTAGGTCTGTAGAGACTCCAGGAGGTGTGCTGTAGAATGGTGATGAAACTCTAATCTCTGAGCTGACTAGAGCATCTGGTTTTGGTGATACCTCTTTTTGCTGACGTGACTGGGTTCAGTGTGCTTGACCTATTACCTGTAGGTGAAGAATTCAGTAACACTTACTGATCTAACCCAGAGGTAATGAACTGCCACAATTAGCTTGAAAACCCACAAGCAGTAAAGGCATGTGATGTTGTGCACCCTAACTTTGTCTGGGATGAAGATGGAGAAAGGTTGGGACATAGCTCAGGACAGAATTGCTGGAAAGCTAGTACTGTTGGATGAAAGAGTCAGACCGGTGTTGCTGTCAGCAGGTGCTAATATAATCTAAATTTGTTTTGTCTTTTAAAATGTCAAATGTAAGCACTGAACTTGCTGTTTGTCACAACCATGGCCTGCAGCCTGGTGGGCTGAGAGCTTGGCCATGCTGCAAATGTTTTTGTAGCACCTAACACCTTCTTTTTCTCTCTCTCTCTTACAGACTTGATCCAAGCAACTAATGAAACAAATGTGAATATTCCTCAGATGGCTGATACACTTTTTGAACGAGCAACAAATAGTAGCTGGGTGGTTGTATTCAAGGCCTTAGTTACCACACATCATCTAATGGTTCATGGCAATGAGGTAAGTGTAACCAGCTTTCTCTTGAGACCACATTGGCACTGAGCAGACTCCCAAGCCAAAAACGCAGTAGTGCAATGGCATCTCTCCTGAAACAGTAAGGACCTGAGAAAAAAGGGTAAGAATGATTCTTGATGAGGAGCGAACTTACCTTTAACAACATGGTTGGAGGCATGCTGATTATCTGTCTCTTCATTTACAAAACCATAACATAAGAACAAGCAGCAGCCTTTTCCAGGATGTTGACAATTTATGTGCTATCTGAAAACAGCTACACAGAATTAAAGACTACCAGGGATGTTTTGACTAAAGTCAAAGTTGATGTTCTGGCACATGTGTACTGCTGCCCAGGTAGCTGCCCTCTCTGCATGAGCATTAAAATCTTCCTAGAGCTGTAGATTCAACTTGATAGCCTTTTGGATTGCTTTTTCCTTGCCCTTGCTTTTATTGACCTGTATAGACTGATATGTCTGTGTGTTTAAAAAAAAAAAAACAACAACAAAAAACAAACAAAAAACAACAAACAAACAAACCAAAACAAAACAAAAACCCAAAACAACAAAAAAAACCACCACCACCACCAAAAAAACTCCAAAACAAACAAAACCCAAAAAACCCCCCCCCGCCCAATGTACTTAAAGAGCTTTAGTATGACTGTGAAACAGTTCCTCCGTGGCCATGTATAAAGTGCAATATTTTCATGCAATGAACTTCTCCAGTGTCAGAGCGTAAATTTTTACTCCTGCCTTATTTTTTCCGTTCCAAGTTCTGGCCAATATTCTAATTTGCTCTCTGTAACTGTTTCAGTCTGTTAGTCCCTGTACTTGATGTGGGGCCTGCTTGTTATTAAAACAGGCCCTCTGCTTGGCTGAAACTGGGGGCTGCTGGATTGAAGTCTGGGACCAGCCTGGATATGCTGCTTTACAAGCAGATAAATCTTGTGCTTCCTCAGATCTCTTTGAGAATTAACTGTCTTTACTGCTCCTTCCACAATCTGGTTTGTATTTGCACAGAATCTATTTTTATGTATACAGTAGGATATTTAGTAGAGATGCAGGCTAAACAAAATTAATCTGAATGGATGAAAGGTTTTGGGGAGGATATTGCAGGCAAAGACAGAAATCTGGGTTTTCATGTTGTGTGTGCTGGAGCCAGACTGGTAATCTTCCTGCTAGGAGGTACAAAGCCTTCAGATAAAACGTGTGATAAGAAAATACCTTTTGTGTTGCAGAGATTTATTCAGTACCTGGCATCTAGAAACACATTGTTCAATCTCAGCAATTTTCTGGACAAAAGTGGATCTCATGGTAAGCCTGCTCATGTCTATAATCTTAACAAGATTTCAAGTAAGATACTATTGTTAATTTGCTCCTTCATTCATAAGATGCAAGTAATATGAAAATGGGCTACCAAAGCCTTTTTTTAGGTAGTTAATGAACACGAGCTCAAGTCAGCTGCTGGACCAGTTCAAAACAATGTTTCTCAGTTCCTGCAAAATTTTTATTCAGGAGGTGAAACCGTGCAACTCCCTTAGAAAGTGCTGGTTGAAATCAGGGCCAGGTCAGCTATCTTCTCAACTGTTACGGGAGTTAAGGATGAAATGAATAACTTTCCATTTAGTTTTTTGGTTTTTACTCAGTCTTAAATGGTAATTTGGTTGCTTGGGGACACTGCATTACTTAGGAATTGTCTATACAAATGTTTAATTTGGAGACGCAGGGGGAAGACACCAAAAGAACTAGCTGGTTTTGATTTGAGTCGTGAATTTAGAAGGTCTAGGCAAAAATTAAGGAGTTGTTCTTTTTAAAGCTTGCAATGTTTGCTTTTTCTACTTTGACTCTGGAATTATTAGTGAATTTTCCCGTTGCCTCACTTAACAGAAAAAGCTTGTTTCGTGGTAGCTGTAGTAGAGAAGAGCGGAAACTTACAATTTGGCAGCTGTCAAGGAACATTTGTAGACTATGCAGAATGCCGGAATGCTGTAATAATGGGCAAGATCGAAGCAATGCCATGTTACTCCATCACTCAAAGGGAGACATGTGACACCAAAAAGACTTGAGCATCTTTCAGAAATGGTAGCACAGGGCAGGAACAAAGCCAAACAAATACTAAAACTGTGTTTATCTAGGCAAAACATGCTATGCATGTTCAAAGATACTGGTATGTGGTAACAATTCTGTTAAATGCATGCTTTTGTGTTCTTTGCCACTTTCTTTAAACTTAAATTGCCTTTTCATAGGTAATACAACAGTGTGTCATAGATGAGGCATCAGAATTGGTAGTATTAAGCCTGAGTTGGTGGAGATACTTAGGAAATATATGGAGATACTAAGGAAAAATACAGTCAATGACTAAGTCAAGGGATGTGGATTTTAACAAAGGTAGCAAAAAGGGACTTGTACGGAAGAGGAGGAGTTGCCTTCTGCACGCATTTCCGTAGCTTAGAGGGAGAAACTTTGAAAGAAATACCTGAAGGATGGACTGTAATACTAACTGTTCATAAGTCTTATGGGCTTGAAGGTCCCTGAAGTTTGAGGCTGCTTGTACAGTATCACATGCCTTGAAGATCTCTGGTGTAACAGTTCAAAGAAGGCACTAATCTCTGTGAATGCCATCATAATTTCTTTGTTGTGGTAAACCTAGTCAGGGCAATTTTGAAGGCCAGTGTAAGAGTTGGAGGGACTAACATACGTGAAGTAGCAGGAGTGGAGGAGTGGAAGTAGATTCTCCTGGAAGTCATGTACCAGTTAAGTATAAACTTGTTAAATCGGCATTTTTTCCCGTTAATAGAGGGGCAGCTAATTTCACCATCAAATAATGTTACCATGTAACTGTGTAGGAGCCACTAGCGGGCCTCCCCAGGAGCAATGCCACTGGTGCATTGGACGAATCTGTTGGAAGCAGATGACAGTGTTAGATTTTTTTTTTTTTGGTACAGTACTACTGCTTTTTCTTCAGAAGCTGGAAGATGTCTTGTGATGCCTGGTCTGTATTGTGTGGTTGTCTAGTGCAACAGACATCACATAACCTTAGGGCCTGTTGACTGTGCATTATCACTTACTAAAGAACCTCCAAATAAGCATGAAAATTAAATGTAAAATGTGTAACTGTTCTTTGCAGGTTATGACATGTCCACCTTTATAAGGCGTTACAGTAGATACTTGAATGAAAAAGCGTTTTCCTACAGACAAATGGCATTTGACTTTGCAAGAGTGAAGAAAGGGTAAGCAAAGTTTAGATATGTAAACTGATAGGGTTGCCTGACCTATGAAAATTGTTTGTGGCATTATGCTTTATTTTTAATGTCTCAGTGACTTAGTTGTTGTGTTCTTTGTTTAGTCACAATGAAACACCAAAATGTTTGGATTTCTCAAGTATTTGTAATGGGTTAAAAATTGCACAAGGAGGAGAGGAAAGACTGTGGGTAGTAAAGCAAATACTGAATATCATAGTAAGGTGCCTTGCAGAACTGGCAGCTTTTAGTGCTAGGTGTTAAATATGACTCTTATTAAGTTGTGCTGTAGCAAGACTGTGTTTAGGATCTGGAGAAGAAAATGGTCTGAAACTATATTTAGGATGCTTCATTACTCTCCAGACCCTTTCCATAAGAAAGGTGACTGATTACAAGGGAAAACTGAACTGAACACCTGAAGTTCTTAGCAGGCAACACAGCAAACAGTTGTAAACTCAAGAGAATACGGTTGTAAACTACCGGTTTTATTTCCCACAAGGACTGTGTTTAAGAAAAAAAAAGTTAACACAGCCCAGAGTAGTATGTTGGTATTTATGAGGACATTTTTTTGGTTTCTGACTCTTCTAACTGGGACTTTAATGGCTCTAGGTTCTCTCTTGAAGCACAAACAACGCAGCAAGTGGCTTAACATCCACTGAAGGTGCAGCTTAATTGACTGCATGCTAAAGATGCTCCTGCTGATCATGAGTTGCACACAGGATTGTTCTGGTGCATTCTGCAGCTTGGGATTCTGAGCTATTAATGCAGACATCACTACCAGGCTTTCCTTTCCTGCCTCTCAAACTGTCATGTAGCTGGTTGCCATTACCACAGTGGGGAGCAAAGTAGTTATCTCTTGAACCTGTCTGGAATACGAATCATTTAAGAAGTTTTTAACATGAAGACTAGTAGCTAGTTGGATTGATACTTCAAGCAGACTTTGATCCAGCAGGCTGCAGTAGTGCTAGCATCTTAAGTTCCCTTTGTCACCTAGTACCTTCAAATACTTGATGTTAAATAAACATGAGTTTGAATTGCTGGGAGTCCGATGTCTGCCTTGCTATATGTTCCTGGAAAGGCTTTCGACGTGTGTTATTTCTGGTGTTCAAAACAAGGTGCTGCCTCAGAGTATAGCATAGAATAAGTAAAAATGGTGGTATGCATTCCCAGAGAGGAGATGCTATACCTGTCAGTGGCCAGAATGAAGCAATACATAATGATGGTTGTGCAGGTTTGTGATATTTGGAGATAAAAATGTGCATGTGTGAAGACTGGTATAAGACTATGGGCGGCAATTAAGGAATGCTACGCATCCATGACTGCTGTGTGGTCCCATTAGAGTAATGGTACAGGACTGACAAGGCAGGTTAGTCAGTGGAAGTGCTATGGAGGAGTAATGGGATTAATTAGTGCCCAGGAATACTGAGGAAAGAAGCTCTAAGCAAAGATTGCCCTGATTTAAATTGTCACTGAATTGGCATGCATATATTGTGGCACTTGATGGGGGGAAAAAAAACGACCTGTAGAGTTTTTTTGTCTTCAGTGACCACAGGCATGTCATTAAAAAGTACTCCTTAGCAATGAGTTATCATTAGTTACTCACAACAAACTTCAATGCACAAAGACTATCAATTCTCTAAGTACTTTTGTGACACTATTTCTTGTCAAGTTATTTATAAACTCTGTGTCTTCTTTCCATAAAGACATCAATCTCTTGCATTCATCACTCTAGCACAAAACGCTTCCTTGCCTGCTGTCAGGGAGGGTGGCTGGATGAAGTATTTTCCATGCCAGCTCTTGTGATGTTGTGGGAAGCAGGAGAATCAGACAGTGCTCCAAATGTTTGAAATGAGTTATAGCAGCTTTAAGCTTAAATTTAGACAACAAATTGGTTTGGGGAGAGGGCGAGGGGATACACCATGGCTTCTAATCTGTATTCTCCCTTGCAGAGCTGATGGTGTAATGAGAACAATGGCTCCTGAAAAGCTACTGAAGAGTATGCCAATATTGCAGGAACAAATTGATGCACTACTTGAATTCGATGTATGTACTGAAGCTGACCCAGCATTAACACTGAGCAGTGACTTATAAATGCTGCATTGTAATTAAAACATTTCACCTTGTAGGTAATGCTTTACCGATCATCCCATTATGTAGGAAAAAAAATACCCTTTTCAGTACCCCACTGAGGTAGAGTGAAGTGAATAATGGCCCCCTATATGTACAAAATGTGCAAGTTCTACTTTTTTTCTGTAGAGAAGGTAGGGGAACAGCGTGGGAAATGAGGGCTGTTGAGGAATGCTGACTCTGAGCTAGGAGTTTCATTTTCTGAATCCATGAGGGGAAGAATTGGACAAAGCAAGGAGACTGAAAAGTCTCTCTTCTGTCTCTTGGCAACCAACTTCTTTTTGGGGGTAAAGAAAAAACCATTAAAATATCACATGTACATTGTTTGGCTTCCTCAAAAACCTTCATTTGGTTTTCAGCTGTAAGCTGGTTTGGATAAACTTTAATCTACACTATTCATAGAAATAAATGTATGTAATATATTTATAATACAATAATGTTATGAATGTTGGTGGGATTATTTGTCTGTCTTAAGGATAAAAATAGGACTCAGTTGTTGTAGGGGGTAGTGTAACCTTATGAAGAGGTCTTTGAAGGAATCAGTCTTGAAGTTCTTCTGTTCTTGGTGCGCAGAAGGACACACTCCAGATATAAGGCAGGACCCACTACAGCTTTCAGAGGAAAGCCTTAGAAATATGTCTTGCTAATGTGTTTTACTTAAACGGCATAGGAATTGCAATAACAGTCTTGGAAGAGGAGGTATTTTTTTAGTAAAACAAAGATCTGTTATTAAATAAGCACTTCTTTTCTGCCCAAGCTAATGTGAGAACTGGAAGTGTCTTGACATGATTAACCCAACTGTATTACCTAGTAGACTACTGAGGTTTTGTTTAGCTCTGCTGTGAACTGACATCTTTTGTCCACTTGCGTTAAAGCTTTGTTAATAGAGTCTCTGCTTTCCAGCTCTGTGATAGGTGAAAGATTCAAGACTGAGATGTTTACTGTTGATGAGGATACTCCTCTGCTGTAGTGGATTGTTTTGGAGTGGTGAAGGAAGCAATTGTTGATCTGCTAACCGAAACCTTTGTTTGATTTCTTTGTGTGAAAGCTTGCATTCAGTGCTTGATTCTATAACAGCATCAGATACCTGGTGCAAGCTAAAACTTTTGATTGCATTCAGTAAATCTACTGTAAATAACTGGTATTTTATTTGTAGGTTCATCCAAATGAACTGACAAATGGTGTCATAAATGCTGCATTCATGCTTCTATTTAAAGATCTTATCAAACTTTTTGCTTGCTACAATGATGGTGTTATTAACTTACTAGGTAAGTAGCCTGGTGTCTATATCTTACATACTCTGAATAAGTGAGAAACAAGTTTCATATCTCCTTCAGTTTTTCATACTTAATTTTCATTATAACTTAATACATTTTTTTATTGACTATTCTATTCTGAAGTGAGAGGAAACTTTAAGCCATAACCTCTTACGTTAGTGTTCATCTGAGGCTGGATTGTCATATGCCCTTAAAATTGTACAGAAGTCTACTTAAAGATACTTAGCATTTCTGTGCTTAAAGAAATGTACAGTGCTGTGTGACTTTCCATAATATGTCCTGCAAGGTTAGAAAAGCAACTTTTGCTATTTGATTGTGTTTTTATGATGCCCAGATTCTTCTGTTATATATGCTATGTGATAGCCTTATATGAAGTAATATACTCCTGAATAACATTTGTGATCTGTCTGGAGGCATGACTGCCGAAGCTGGATCCCCTTCAGAACCCTACTTGCTGGCAGCCTACAGAGTCTATAGGAAACTGTGAGCACGATCTGAAGCTCAAACAGCTTGGCATGATCACCAGCGTAACATGGCTTAAGCTGTCCCTGCAAAAGGCTTTGTTACGAAGTCTAAAAGCAGAAGTTGCCATGAGCTGCAGGAAACATAACTGATCCTGTAGAAAATGAGCTTCAACTATTAAAACTTGTGAATGCTTCAGCTGGTCTGTAAATACAGCTAAAAACTAAGATTGCTTGGCCAGTATGGGTGACCTAAAACTCTGGCTGCAACTACAACAGGAAGAAACAGAACGGTTATGGAACAGGCAAAAGGATGTCCCTGAGCTGTAAAGCTCAGACAATTTTTTTTGTATCCATGTTGCAACGCTTTCTGATGGTTTCATGAAAGTAAGACTCGGGTGTTTTGACTGAAACTATGGACATGGGAAGCTTGTGGAGCAGGGGCAAATGTGTTGGGCATAACAATTGGATTGAGATTTTGCCATCTGCTGCTACTTAAAGTGTAAATTCATGTTGAAATATGTAGCAGTTGTGCTTGATAATGGACACGAACTAACTTTAGAGTGCTACTCAAGTGGAAAAAGTACTGTTCTTTGGAGTGAAGACAACTTGGGAGAGGACATATTAATATATGTTTAAGTATCCTTAATTACTTTGAATTTTAACTTTGGTAACTACTTCACCTGCTTATTTTTTATCTTTAACAAACTGATTTGCATCATACACAATGCTATGGCTGGTTGAGGAGCAATTTTCCAGTCTATATAATTCATTAGCAGCTCAGCAAGGCCAGCTTTTAAATTCTACTAAGTATTATGAATGCTACTAGATTAGTGTCCACATAGAAAAATGTTAATGGAGTGCAATATTCTTGAAATGTGATTTTCCTGAAAACTAGAGTTGCTGATGAATGCAGACCTAGTATAAGATATCTTAACTGAAATTTGCCAAATTATTTCTCTAGAGAAATTTTTTGAAATGAAAAAGGGACAATGTAAGGATGCTCTTGAAATCTACAAACGATTTCTTACTCGAATGACCAGAGTATCAGAGTTTCTTAAAGTTGCAGAGGTAAGTGACTTCCAGTCTTCTAGAGTCTGGCACTTAAGTATTTTGTGAATATTTTTTAGCACCTATATAAAATATTAATTGCAGCTGTTAAGCATTTGATTCACTGTGTATAAATGCGAGGCAGTGTAGAAGTTCCTAGATCTGCTTGTTCAGCTCTTCTTGAACTAGTTAAGCCCTGCTTAGGACTTCCACATGTCTCTACTGTGCAGCCAGCCTCAGCTTTCCTGGTAACATAACAGGTGACATGACTTCAACTATATCAATGTTCCTTGGAAATGCTGTAATAAATACGTGCTTCTAGGACAGGATTGAACATTAGAGGAAGATATAGTAACTAGAAATAAAAACATAATGATTTTATAAGTCTGCTCTTTTAAGTCTTTGCAGCCAACTGCAAGTTAACTGGAATGTGAGATTTTCCTGGTTTTGATCCTTGTTATCATCCTCTTATGTGGATAATACAAGTATTACATGGTTAATTAACTCTTTTGCTGGGCTTTCATTTGTGGTAGTTGGCTCCTTGGCACAATATGCACATTTTCCATTTTTCATGCTTCATTATAGTGGACAGCAGTAATGAGCCGAATAAAAAGTTTGTTTCTTTGCTAATTTACTTAACTGTTTTTGAAGGAGCCAGCTAGACTCCCAAACGGCATGTAATGTCTGATGTGAGTGTTGAACTGGAGAGAGCAAAGTACTTTAGACACCAGCTTTGCCTGACACGGATTATAGTGACTATACTTCAGAATTAATAGGTGCAGTGGAGCTTGTTCTTCTTCAAAAGCTAAACCAACAGGCACTTTGAAGAGCTGTAGTGAAGCAACAGGACAACTAATACAAAATTGCAGGCTCTGATCTCATCTTGCTGTATTGGAAATGCTAGGAGAGAAGGGAGAAACAACATAGTGACTTGAGCTTTTAGCATTTTAGGTGATGTCTTCTAGGATTTGCTCACTTCCTGAATTTCGGAGAACTTCATTAGGATAGTCTGGTATCTGGGTAGTATGTGTTTGGCACTTCAGCAATGCTGTCCTCTGAGACAACAGTGTATGACCAGAAAGCCCTGCCTGACTTGCAGTATGGAGTATGAACTTTACCTGGGTGGAATTGAACTTTGCCCCCTGCTTGCTTTTTTTTTTTTAAATGGATATTTAATAAAAAAAAAAAAATCAACCAAAAATCCCCAAAAAACAAAGCAAACAAAAAACAAAACTGCTGCAGGTTGTTGAAGGTAGCTACTGGAAAGATGGGCATCTGCACTTGATAACTTCGTAGCTTTTTTCTAAAGATAAAGTGTGTTATAGGTTGAAGAGTGTATAACAGTTCTAGTAAAAATTAGTGCCTGCTGCAGTGGAATAATGTACTTACATTTTACTTTTTTTATATCCACAGCAAGTTGGAATTGACAAAGGTGATATCCCTGATCTTACACAGGTAAGCTTTTCTTGTAGTCTGTTTGGATCTGTGTAATAAATAAAAGTTCTGTAGTTAGGAGGCACACCAGGAATGTAAATGTTGGTAGGAAGTCATACCACCTAACATTTTAAAGCCCTCCCAACTTGCAAATGAGAACTGCCCAAACCTATTTTTGAAGACTGACTCACAATGACTTCCAAACTATAGTTGAAGGGTAGACTGTTTTGCTCTTTCCTTGCTAAAGGATGGACTTTTACAGCTTGTAGCTCGAGTTTATTTTTGATGACAGACTGCATAGAGATTGCTGTCTTCATTTTCTCCCTGACACAGTGTTGGTCCAGAGGTGACATTCAGAGCAGCATTGCTGTCTTGGTCTAGGTACAGTGAACTTAAAGTTTAAATGCAGTTGTGATTTGATCGCTGAACTTTGTCAGCATGCATCAAAACTTTTAACATCAAAATTCACTTATGCTGTAGCTGCTTAAATTCTATTGTGCTGTTCTTTTTCAACATCACTTGCAAATTGGCCTGGGTGCCTGGCTTTGTTTAATGTGAAAAGGATACTTACTTGTAAGAGATCCATGCTAAAGAGTTCACTCTTGGCAGTTTTGATACCAGTAAAATTGGAACAGAATTGCAGACCAGACTGCTTAATAGTTGTTAATCCTAAGTGTTCATAACCTATGATGTGTAGTTTTTGAAAGCCTTTTGAAAACCTGGTTTAAATGAGCATCAGAATAGTGATTCTCTTAGTTAAAAAAAAAACAGTTAAAAATTCTGAAAGTGAGACATGATGTGAAGGTGGGGAGTTTTAATCTTTATGGGTTTCAGGTGCTGCAGGGCTTTGAAATCTTTCAGCAGAGGAAAGCTTAGACTTCTAGCAACGTGTGGAATACCAAACCCAATTATGAAATAGCTGAAATAGTATATTGACCTAACTCTGAACTTCAGGGGCTCTTTTTTTAACAAGGTCCAGTCAGTCGTGAACCACCAGTCAGTCGTGAACCAAGTCCTTGAACCAGAAGAACTCACCTTAAGCTCAGTTAATTAAATATGCTTTATAAATTCCTGTAGCACTTCTATCTGCTTTGGCTTGTGTTGTGTCAGTCTGCTGGAAAGGCTGCCTGCTGGGACAGCAAGCCCTGTTCTGCATCATCGGTTGGTACTGTGCTTGCTCAGCAGCACCTTAGTTACTGCTGCTGGAGGATCCCTTTTACCTCATGAACCAATGCTTGAAAATCTAATAGAATAGTTCCTTTGCAGGGACGATATGTAAAACAATCATCTAGTCCAACTGCTTGACCACTTCTGTGGTCTTCTCAAGTAGTCCCTCATAGCTTTATTCTCCCAAAGGCTGCTTGGGACTCACTTGCTAAGGCTAATCTGCAACATGCTGTAGATTGTGTATAAGATCTAGGCAGTGTATTTCAGTGAGAAATAAATCAAAAGTGAATAATAAAACTGAATTTCAGCTAATAAGTAATATATAATTTTATATAATGTCAATGGTATACCTAAATTCCTAAGGCAAGCCATGGCAATAGTCAGTAGTATTCAACAAGAAGTTGGTTGTGTTGACACTTGGTGTATGTACCTATTCTGTAAGTCCGAAAAAGTGGTCACAGTACTGAAATACAAGTTGATAGCTGTCATCTTTGGACTTTCCAGTGTAGCTGCAAGGTTGTGGAGGCTGAGGAGGCACCTTGGCAGATAAAGAGCTTGGCTCATTTTTATTTATTAGCAATTCCTAAAGTATGGCAGTTTTGCCCCAGATAGCTAGTGTGGAGCCCATATCTAAGGTTCCACCATGATGCTGACTGATAGATTAGTCTAGTGTTGAAGCAATATATAGAAGAAATTAAGCAATGTTCAGTGTTGCAAATTGGATACCAGATAATATTTAATTTCCAAGTTGTTGCATCTGGATAGAAATTCTCACAGAATTACCAAGGCTGGAAAAGACCTTTTAAGATCAAGTCCAACC